AATTGAGTTCGTGACGTGTGGGTGATGATGACTTCATGACGGCCAGACGGTCAGTATCGACCGATGCAGCCAATCGCGGCGACCAAGTCCCATCGCGTCGCACGCTAGGTCGCGTGAACCATCTGATATTGAATCAGCCGTCTGTTATGCAGTCGCCCTTCCCTGGTTCTATCAAACCTGCAGCCTCATGGATTTCCGTGTTCGCACGAGTCTTGCGTTTCCCGGTCAGGCTTGTGTGTTGCATTGTTCAGGCCCGAATCAGAACGCTGCGGTTAGCGATGGCAAGTAGGCCGGCTATTTCGAGCGTCGGTGGCAGCAACTGGACGGGGCATAACCGCCCATTGGTGGAATCTCTTGGCCTTGGAGTGCCGGGACTGCCCCGCCTAGTGCCGTGCCGTGCCCGCCATGGGCGGGGTGCCTCAGCTGTCGCTGTTGCCGGGCTGTACGCACACCGTGCAGCGGCGCCGCTGGGGCGATACGTTGACTCAGGGGAGCGCCTGCGCCCTGACGGGGTCAGCTGTGGGTGGAGGTGAGCGCGCTAGCCGCCGTCGTCCGCTGCCGGCGGATGGTGACTGATTGGCGGGAAGGGGGGGGGGAGGAAGGGGACGCAGCTGGTGGCGTGTAACCCGCCGGTCAGACGTCGTCACGGCGCTCCTGGGGTCTGTGAACACGTTGAGCCGTGCTGGCGCTGTCTTCCCGCTCTCCATTCTTCACACGACCTGTGTAGATCACTGCTCTGCTTGCATGAACTGTGGTCCCCTCACATGAAACGGGCTGCCCTCACATGAACGGTGCTGACCTCACATGAACCGTGCTTCCCTCACGTGAACTGAGCTGCCCTTCACATGAACTATGCTGCCATGTATGCTGCCTCCCGCATCTGACTGGCAGATGGGCACCCGTCACGTATGCTGCTCTTGTTTCCTTCCACGTCCTGTTTTTTCCAGCCTGTGCCCGTCTTACCCCCGATCCCCGGTTACTTTCGGACCTGTGTTATGGCTCCTCCCGCCCTGAGTAGCTCTCTGCCCCCCCCCCCCCCCCCCCCCGCCCTCGACCAGCGTTTTCTGTTGTCTTCGCTGTCGGGCCCTGGCCGTGACTCGGACGGCGCTGTGTTTGTGTCCCCGCTGCTTGGGCTGACGGGCGCCTGTGTGGGCTGGCCGGCCAGGTGCGGAGACGGCGTGCAACACTTCAAGGTGCTGCGGGACGCAACCGGCAAGTTCTTCCTCTGGGTGGTCAAGTTCAGCTCGCTCAACGAACTGGTGGAGTACCACCGGTCGGCCAGCGTCAGCCGCTCGCAGGACATCAAGCTCAGGGATATGGTGTCGCAGGAGGTGAGCCCGCCAGTCGGCCGAGCCGTTAGTGTTAGGTGGAGTGAACTTACGTCAGGCTCGTGAATATGGTGGTCCAGAGGCGAAGCTGGGTTGAGCGACTTGCAAGCGACAACCCAGGGCAGCGCCGGCATTAGAGGGTACAAACGCTCGTCGCAAATACTACTAGAATAATTTAACAGCATGGCAGCTGTGTGGCTAACGGTGTCGACGCCGAGCGCTGTCGTGCCGCGTCTCTGCTGGAGGCGTGGGCGCCTCTGCCCATCTCACCCGCTCCCCTCCGCTCCGGCAGTACCACGTGCAGGCGCTGTACGACTTCACGCCGCAGGAGCAGGGCGAGCTGGAGTTCAAGCGCGGCGACATCATCACCGTCACGGACCGGTCCGACCAGCACTGGTGGTGCGGCGAGATCGGGGACCGGAAGGGCCTCTTCCCCAACACATACGTCACCGCCCACCACTCGTAAAACCGGCGCCCGGGCGGCGCAGGTGGCGCAACTGCGGCGTGAACGCGGCGCCACCGGCGCGTTGAACGTGGACTCGCGGGCGTTGCCCGGGCCGCGTGGCGGCGCCCGGCCTGTCGCCTGTCGGCGCGCGGTGTCCCCAGAGCCAGATATTTTTAGACGGGGCGTTACGAGGTGCGTGGTCATTTTTTACCGCGCGTGGGTGCCGACGCCGGCGGCCACTAACTTAGACAACGAATTATATTACCGTGTTGTCTGGCTGGCGTCTGGCCTACCGCGAGTGTCCCCGCGCGGCGTGTGGGTGCGTGTGGTCCCGTCTTGTGCGCGTGTGTGCGTGTTTGTGTGCGTCAGGCGGCGCCTCTGGCCTCTAGCCAGTCTGACAGAATAGTTAAGTTGCTGGATTCTAACAGTTTATTGATTGTATTGTTTAATTAGCGTCTACGGATAAGCATTATGTTTGCATGGACCGCGTGACGGCCGGCCGCAGTTGTGAAGCGGCCGCGTTCCGATCACCTGCTGCGGCCGCCGGTGTCTGTCGCTGCACTGGGGCCATGGCCCTCTTCTGCGCTCTCGTGTTGTGCCCATGACTGCCTGCCACGCGAACGCTCGCCAAACTCGTGAAATGGTGCTTTCCCGCCTGATTCCTGTTTGCCTGGCCACGCCCGGCGCCCCGTGGCGGCGTCTCCGGCGCACGCTGGACGGCGTCGCGTCTGCCATCTATCGGCCGGTCGGCGCTGTTGTACTGTCTGAGCGCCGCGCGCGCCATCTGTCTGACGGTGGATGAAATAACTGGCGGGGTGGACGCCAGGGGAGGTTTGATTGAGACGACGTTAGATTGGCGCGACCTGCGGAGGGGCTGGCTTGCCGCTGGGTTTTTTGTACATAACACCGCGATGTCTTGTCGATGCGCAGCCAGCCGAGTTTTCAATAAACGGAGAAAAACACTGATGCCAGCTGAGCACATATCTGAATGTTAATGAAGTGCAGCGGAACAGGTTCGAATTAGAGGACTGAGTCAGATTTATCCCCATGTTCGGCGTTAGTTGTTTGAGTGCACTGAGCTGCGTTGGAAAACTTCATGACAAGTAAGGGCTACGCTGCGATCAAAACGGCAGGAACTCACGTCTGTCTTTCCCAGGTGCAATGCGGGTTTCGAAAGAACCGGTGTGCTGCTGACCACTTATCGATCATAGATACAACTATACGACATACTTTTAAACAAAGACGTCGCGCAATAGCCATCTTCTCTAACATTGAGCGTGACTGAATATGGTACCACTTGCTCCATGGCATTCTGAACAAGCTACACAAGGATGGATTAGGAGGTCCCATGGCAGTCTGTTGAAAACTGTTATGTCGCCGACGTTTCAAGTTCGAGTGGGTAGCATGTCTGACCGCTACGGACAGGAGAACGGTGTTTCCCAAGCGAGCGTTCTTGGCGTAACCCTGTTTGCACTGATAATATCTTCGGCTGTCCGCCACCCACCATCAGTCGGTCACTGTGAATGACTGCCATCTGGTCGACGACGTCGACGCATCGACGACATCCGCAGCGAGACAGCTTCAGTCACGTCTCATTCGGCTAATGAGTGGAGCCTAAGGAATGGCCTCAAATATTCATCGTCAAAGCCAAGTGCGTGCATTTCTGCTCATGACATCAAGGCTGAAGAGACCCGGAGTTGCGGCTTTATGATGCCACTATTCCAGTATGTAATGTGGTTTTTTCTCGGCTCCACATTCGACTGTCCGCTCACATTTAAGCAACACTTGAAGATGATACAGGTCAAGTGTCTCAGGCGCATGAACCTTATGAAAGAGATGTGTCGTATGACCTTTGAAGCCGTTAGGTGTACCCTGTTTTACCTATATAGAGCATTAATTCGATCCGTCATCGACTACGTTAGCCCTGTGTGCGACAATGCGACGACGTGCGACATCTTCAAAGCAGGTTTTGGAAGCAATCTACCATGCGTTGGTTGGTGAAGCCACTGGAGCATTTTGTACGGCCCGAACAAGAAACCTTCTGGTGGAGGCCAATGAATCGTCTCTGCCTCTTACAAGACATCGGCTTGCTTTGAACCACGCCATTGAAAATTGAATAGCAGATCGTTTAGCATCAAAAGTGTAGATGCACGTTGTAAGGCCGCTGACCTACGGTAGGTTAAAGTCGGGCAATGGATTCAGCGAAGTCAATGCCACATCTTCGTTTTTATCGTGTAACTTGTGAGCCATTGACTCGACTCAAACATTAAGTCGTACATATGTAGCGATTTGTGATAAGTGTATGACAAATTTTAGCCCAGATCACATGCCCATCCAAGACAAACTATTTAAGTGTGAAACTCGCTTGAACATTACAATGTTTCCATATTGGGCGTTACTTCAATTATTTCGATCTCAGGACTTAAGATACTCTTCATGTTCGCCAAAACAGACCGCTATTGAATATCACGGGGCCTGCATATCCGCTGCAGGCAGCATTCCTTCATACAAAGGGTAAAAGATCTTTCGTCGCGTGTTTTTGTATGCTTCAAGTTGTCCTGGTTGCACACAGACATGGGTTGTGCTCGCGTTTAATAATGCCAACCAAGGCTATGGAAAAAATATATGATGTCAACCATAGATAATCTGATGCAACAAATGCTCACACTGAACGCGTGCTTTCTTTAGAAGACAGAAGCTCAAAATCTGCCATGTGACTATCGAACTTGCACATCAAGGAAAGTGGTATTGCATATATATGTGGTGTTAATCATGACCATGGACATGAGCGATACAGGTGATGCCCTACGATGTTTGTTAAATGCACCCTTCTTTCATTGTACCTTTGAACATTTGTATCTTATATATAATAGATGACCAGAAAACCAGAATATAATTGGACAAAATCCGGCAAGTTTGTTGCAACTGCTCTCCTGACGACTTTCAAGACTCTGGCAGCGGAGGGCAGAATCTGGACAGCAATTTTGAGACATCGACACTCATGTCTACACGTGATGCCTGTGCTGCACTTGGAGCAGCGGTGACCATGCATATAATAAACGGAATGTGGTTCACATTAGCCGAGGCAAGAGAAGAGTGTCTTCCGACCCCACAGGACACAAGGCTGTCGCGAGCGCCTGCAAATCAGAACCTCCATATAAATCCTCCAGCCTGCTTTTCAGCTCGGCACCGGCGCCATTCAGTTGCAGACTTCCCCTAGTGCCACCTCTGTAATTCACGGCAGTCCTGGCTTGTCCGCTCGCACGAGAAAAGAGCTAAGCTGAGCGACAAGCCAGTCACGCCCCGACCACAGACACTCGATCAATCAATCGATCACTCAGCCCAGCCGCGGCCCAGCCTGGCCTCGCGGCCTAGCCTGGCTTCCCAGCCCAGTGACAAGGAGCGCGCAAGATTCTCTAAAACCGCGGCGCCGCACCATAACAGCATCAGCCCAGATACATATGCATCAGCCCAGAACCAGTAGGACTCGTCGCCATCTCCGGCACTGTTTTTGAACGCATAACAATACAAGTTCGCAATCCCTTGTATGGATGGACGCCCAGCGGCCATGTTTGTACATCATCCTGTACATGTGTGTAGGTTCGCAAATTACGTTGGGAACGAGGCGGAAAGCTGTATAAACATCTCCGAACGCCCAATATGCCTTTTCACGAACTTGGCGGGCAATGCTATCAAAGCTCAAGTTGGCGCTCCCCCAACCCACTGAATAAATATTTACACCCCGACTCCGTCGCCACGTCCCCCAAACGCTCAACATAATTTGTTTAATGACTGCCGCAAAGCGTTCTCAATGTTCAAGCGCTGACGCTCCCCACCCACCGAACAAAAAATTACACCCCGGCTCCGTCACCACTTCCGTCACCACTTCCGTCACCACTGCTTCTGCCCCAGTCCGGCTGTCATTGCCACGCAGCCGGGGCCACACGCCTCTTCGTTAGTACGCGTGAACGGCCGCACCGCTTGCCGCAAACAGGCCATGGAAGTCCTTGGCCAGCGTCGCGTCGGTGCGTACTTCGGCGCGCGCCAGCTCGCCCATGTTGGTCGCGTCCAGCACCAGCAGCGAGGCGCGACGCTGGTCCTCCACGTGCAGCAGCGAGGCCAGCAGCAGACCGGCGTCCTCCGCGTCAGCGCCGGGCGCCGCCACGAAAACGGGCTCCGACGGTGACCAGCAGGGGTCGCTCCAGGTGGCGACCTGACCAGAGGCTACGTCCAGCTTGAGAAGCTGCCGAGCAGAGGGCGCTGGTTAGCCGCAGACACGGAGAGAGCTGGCAAGGGAACACATCAGTCTCTAAGCAATGTTACACACACAAAGAAGGCTACCACTTCAATGATTTTTTCAGTGATACGAAGTCCTTCCAGCAGCCCGCACTCCCGGTGAAAGTAACGGGCCACCGTCAACCTTAGAACGCTCGCTTTACTTACAAAATAAATCACGCCTCAGGTCTAACATGGTCAGAGACAACTTACGGCAACCGCGAACCCTTCCCAACCCCTGAACGTGACGATGTTGCCTCACGCGTTCCGAGTTGAGGCCGGCTCCGACGAAGCGGCAGGCGTAGGCGAAGCGGTACGGCTTGCCGTTGAAGGCGTAGTTGATGCGCGGCAGGTCCACCGAGCGATACTCGCTCGGCGTCAGCGTCTGGGGCACGCAGTGCACTGTGCCGTCCCCGCGGACATGCGCTGTGGCCGGCGACCCTTCTAGGATAACCTGGTTCCGGTTAGGGTCGCCAGGCTGCGGGCAACGGGGCAGATAACGGTCACTCGGGGGGCTCTCGCGGAAGGAAACGTCGCACGCGAAGTTGTGGGACCCTGGCAAGGAGAATGATTGATCGAAGTAAGAACACTGTTTCAAAAATGTTTAAGATGTAGGTGACTTAACAAAACAAGTTTTCGTAGTTCTGCACAATGTCTGAATTGGTCAAGTCAATGTGTAATCGATGGGGGCCTCGAAACCCCCGGACTATCTACCAAGAGGCGAGCAAGGCCATTCAACCCGAGCTGTCGTACACCTAATTTCAAAATCAAAGTGGTTCAGAGGCAAAAAGCATAAAAAAACAAGGTTCAAGGTCCCGCCAGGTTATACCCGTCCTCATTTCTTTATACTCTCGTCTCCTTGCATGCTCGTGACGCTTCATTTACCCGAGGCAAAAAAAAAAACTACCAGCCAAGCAGGTGATTCTCACCAGCAGATGATTCTCGCTTCATTTTCGCTTAACGTTAGCGTGGTGTCACTGGTATCACGACTTTAATGCGTGGCAACCACTCGACGCCGTACGTAGTGCTGAGGGGCAATAGGAATATCGAAATGCTCGTACAGAAAATGAAACAGCCGTTAGAGGAAGGTGGGCGAATATGACCAGAACGTCGATTACGTAAAATATTATGACGAATATGATCGTGCGTTTTGCAACCCCGCGTGACAGACCACTGATATGCAATGACATGAAAAATGAGGACGAACACACGATACTTATTCTCCATGGGGCGGCAGATACATCGGGTTGCTTTCGCACCCATAACGAGCAAAATGTTTGCATGCGCCCGGCCGGGGGGCTTTGACTTTCTCCCCTACGGTTTTTGGAGCACAGCTTACATACAAACGCTTACAGCCACATGAAATTTGCAGTGCCGATTCAACTTTCAGTGCGAAATTCTTTGTGTAAATTGAACTTTTTATCTACCAAGATCAGTGATCTAGGTCAGGTCAATGAGGTCAGTTCCTAAAAAACGACCACATATAATTTGTTGTGACCTCGGCCATTAATCAAGCTTGCTGTAGTAATAAAACATAATGCTACCTGCAATTTGTCCAGTTCAGACTTTCGAAAATGCCAATGCACTGACCTGAACCCCGGCCAATTTTTGCTGTTTTTGTAAATAATGCATTTCATACACATCTTTATTAAGTTTTGGTGTATGTATATAAGGGAAAGAATACTAACTGACACGCACAACCATCACACGACCACAAAACACATGACCTTGGCCCAGGTCCTGACCTACCTTTATGCGTGCCTACTTTGCAAAACACATGCTGAGCTCAACATAGGCAGAGTTTATCGGTAGTTTTGGAAACGTGATTCGAATTGTCTATTGCAAACGTGCTTTAAAAGCATTCTAATGCATAATAAAATCATAAAAAGTCACGTAAACATGCAAAACTATATAACATCCAAGGTCAATGACCTATGTTGTCAGTGGCGGAGAAGCTATATGAACGAATGCGATGCGTGTAATCTCATCGTGTTTGTGAAGCTGATGATGCATTATTTCATGTACCAACGTACCCGTTCTCAGTTTGTTATAAACACTTTGCCGAGCGTCGAAGCGACGATGCATAATATACACAACAGCGTTACCATTGTACTGGTCACATACGCCCGGTTAGCCATTCCATTTTATTTGGTCGGTTTATTAATTTGGCCAAGTTGAACTCGTCTAGGTCACCCTAAAATGGTGTGTTTGTGCCTGGAATACTTTTTCACACAGCTGCGCCCCATGAAATAAACGTAGTCAGAAGCACATTGTGAAGAAGAGTACCATTATTGTAGGCTAATGGTAGATCACATTTGAACAGTGATCTGATCTGGCCTGACCCATGTGGATGAACAGATATGACCGAATTTGACTCCCCACAGTCTCAACGCCTATTTCCCTAAATGTCCGTCTTGACTTGTTAACAAAGGTCGTAACTGCATCTATTGGAACGACCATTCTTGACCTTTCGTGCCTTCTGGTGATCTCACATTCGGCCTAAGGTCAAAAGCTTGGTGTCCATTCTACGTGATTTGGCGGGACCTTCGCAACGGCATGCGGCCTCGCACCCCGTGGTAGTGGCACCGCCGGTGGTGCGAGTGGGTGGCGAGCGGGCGCGTCTGCGCTCGGCTGCCACTGGTTTCACCCCTAGGCGCGACAGACGCATTACCGGCGAGTGAGGGACGTGGTGGAGGCCGCATACTTTTCGGCAATCTGAATTGATTCGTTAGTTTTTTAGTATATAAGCGCCGGTCTATCCAGGACAAGTTTTGCCCCGTATGTGGCTCAGTAACGTAGATTATATCTTGGTTTGGTAGGGTACCTTCCAACCTTCTCAGCCATATTGTGTTAATTGATACATAAGTGGCAATGCGCCATCTTGCTGCTGCACATCACTTTCTGCTTCTTCTGTTTGCAGCATGCCTGTGTTTTTTTTAGTGCTGAGATTTTCTCAGATTTTCTGGCCTTGTTGCACCCTTAATGTTGGTATGATCCCTTTTATATGGTCTTTGCAACCCTGTGCCAGTGTGCTCACGTCGTGATGATTAAACAGAAATTAATTATGGACCAATAGCTAGATGTGCTTTGGCCTCGCCCGTAACCTGCTCAGTTTTCCAAGGCAACATTTGGGCCACGTAACAAAAAATGACCTTTCTTTGTCTAAAACAGCTCTCCGCAAAGCTGTGCTCAACCTTGCAAAATACGCGATCAGCACCCAGTTTTACGTGCGAACCGACTCTCGCATTAGCGCAAGACAAGTTCTCCTAGGTTGGGGGAAGGGCGTTAGCTTTTTTTATCACTTATCTCCAGTCAAGCTGGTGGGCCAATGCCAAATTTGAAGAAAGTTGGACGGTTCAGTCCCCCTCCACAGTACCCGCGCCCATGCGTAGGTGTATTCACTTCCCATGCCGACTGGATTGTAACGGCTTTGCTGAATATAAGCTCGCGAGGCACATGATCATGCTTCCCATTTAGACTGTGCCCGGCCAGTGGTCTGATACAACCACGCCCGGCCTGGGAAGTTTACTCTCCCTGGGATCTCCAACCTCCAGGCGTCGCACGAGAAAAACATAGACAAGGGGTTAGGGCGTCTGTCCATGCGCGCACAGCCCCGCTGGTGTGGGGCTATTGGGCTGTCGCATGTTCAAGTCGCGCCGGAAGCTCGGCTCTTCGCCCGCTATTTGCTGGCGTATTTCTGGCATCTGATGGCCTTTGCGATGTCAGGAGTCAAGAATCAGAAACTGTCGGCACCGTTGTCTCTGTACCAGAGCTCGGACCTGGGGCTCTGTTCCCATCTGTTCTGCAGCATTGAGGCAAACCCATCAAACCTACCTGTTGCTGCTGGCTTCTGGCCAGTTTGCTTCTCTGCGAAGGTGCAAAAGTGAACCAGGGCCAGCACACAGGCTAAGACCGCTGTAAGTGTGTTGCCAGAACATCTGCAGTTCGAAGAACAAGCTATACGCTCTGCGTTCTCATGGTGGGGAGCTGGCTGGCTTCGTCGCTGTCGGCCTGAACGAGAGATGGCTTTCTGAGCTGGATATGTGCTGGACTCTGAGATACAGCTGAGCCTCTCGGACCATGTATGGAACGGCAGAGGAGGAGGCGTTGTTTGTGCAGTGAAGGCAAGCTTGTCACCTGTTCACCGACCAGAACTGGAGCCCGACTGCGAGGTGCTGGCGATCCAGTTGGGGACCATCTACCCTGTCACCCCGGCTGTCTCCGTCCGCCAGATGCTTGTCGTGACGTGGATTCGACCGCTGTCTTCTTTCGGACTATCCGATCCGCCAATCTGCCGTTTCTCATCGTGGGTGACTTAAGCTCCTCTGAGAATTGGTGGCTGGGCAACGGCAACGAAGCTAGTCTACTGGGGCGCACCATCAGAGCTGTCAAATTCCTGACCTCTGTCGCTGGAAGCGAAGCGGTGCACTCTGTGTAACGCCACCAACGCGCGAGGAGAATGTCCTGGACCTCGCCATCTCTCATGGCGGAGCAGCTGCCTCTAAGATTGTCCACGGTATATTCAGCTCAGGCCACCGTATGGTGGCGATGCAGTTTCCTATACGATGTGGGGCGACCCCCTGCGCCTCCCGACGATGTGGGGCGACCCCCTGCGCCTCCCGACGATGTGGGACGACCCCCTGCGCCTCCCGACGATGTGAGACGACCCCCCGCGCCTCCCGACGATGTGGGACGACCACCTGCGCCTCCCGACGTAAGGCTTACAATTACAGAAGGTAGGCTTTAATGGTCTGCGCACCGCTCTCGAGTTTACTCCTTGGCGTATTCTAAATAAGTTAAATGTTGATGATGTCTGCCTGTTCTTTTATCTTCTTTTTTAGCCCGTTTTGAGAAAATATGACACCAAAAATCGTAGGTATTATCATTTCTAGAGCATGTTTAAATAATGGCCAATAACGCATGCCCAAGCTACGCGTGGTCAAGTGTTTTTAGAAGTTGACCTCTTTGACTTCAGCTAGGTCAATGACTTTGGCAGATTAAAACTTCGAATCTGCACAAGGGATTCCAAATTGAGATAGCAATAGGTTCTGTAAATCACGTGTTGCTGCAGGTTTTGTTTTATGAGCTGTGCTCGAAAGCCCGTAGGAGAAAGTCAACTCCCACCTCCGTCTGGCGCGGGTTAATTCTCCCTCATCTTTTCGCAGTAAAGTGCACCTTCCCGTAATAAGCTACTTGTTGCTGGTAAGAGAGTAGCCCTACGCTCAGGCTGACTTTCTTCAGGAGTTCGTGCGTGGACGCTCCCGGTTTTCGCGCTGATTGAATTTTGACCGCTAGTCGTATCAACTTGCCATTATCACATCATTATGCTCCCCATTATCTTAAACGTATTGAGCTCCCTCGGTTTATGCACCTACCTCCAGCAATATATTCGTTATCGGTACAAAGGTGATCAACGTCCCAGTCGCCCAACTCTGCAGCGGTTTTCGCGTAAGCGTTTCAGTTTCCGCGCCGACTTCATTGTAATGGTTGGCCGCATATTCTAGCCAAGCACATCACAATATTCGACGCGATTACACGCGATTGGCTCGCTCGCCACAGGCGCCTGCTCTAGCACGCCGTTCATGATCGATGCAGAGAGAGTCTGGTGTTCAGCTCGCCTATCTCATACAATTATCGTGTGTGCGTTGTTACCTGTCATGCCAGTGTATCTCAATTGCAAGTAGCCCAGGCTTGCAAAGCACATAATCACACCAGTCATGTACGGTTTCACGTAAGCCGCTCGCTTGTTATGTGCATTTCCCGCTAACAGCTTGCTCACTATCTGTACGAATATTTCCGGTGTTCCAGATGCCCCGCAGTGTTCACCCCACGGCTATCGGCCAAGCCGCACTGAAGCATCGGTACCAGTGACGTCACCGCTCTGTACAGAGCGGGTGAAAACCCGACTTATTGGGAAGCCCATGCACAGCATCTCCCCACCACCAGCCATGTGTGCTTAAAAGCCCCTCTGTTCTACGGCCTTGAAAAGCCCCTGGCGACACACCGTCATGGGTGCTGTGATTGCCCTCTCCCGTGATTGCCCTCTCCCGTGATTGCCCTCTCCCGTGATTGCCCTCTCCCCTTCATTCCATGGTTCTGAAATGACTATAACTGGCCGAAAGGGCTCAAACCAACCCAAAAAGCCGCGTCATGCTACTCAATGTAGTACCCTGGTTATGTAAACCTATATTTGCGTTCGTTTCTGCGCTGATGCTATTTGGCGCGCAAACGCCACACACAGCGCTTACGCCCTCACTCACCCTAGAGATCCAAAGTGTTCCTTTTTTGTGGAGGCAGGGTGACCTTAAGTCAGCACGTGCAAATGTTCGCTCGGATGAACAGCTTAGGACAAATAAACAATTGCCGGATATGCCACAGACACATTTCTTCACTAAAATAAGCGACGCGGTCCTGAACTTGGGAGAATGCTCCAGGAACTTACCTTTACCTGTAAGGGAAGGACAAAACGTAGCATGGGGTCCTCGGGCTCCTCCTGATCCGTTACCAAACATCTAACTGAGACCTTCTCCATCACCTGCAAGACATGCGGCATTTACTTGGCGCCGTTCAAGCCAGACAAAGACGGTCTTGGAGTCCCAAATCACTCCATGCAACCTGTGCAGACTGCACAAGTTACCCAGCCTCTTAGCACGAGCACTCAGTGCCGACAGGTAGTGGTGGCTCCCGATTGATTACCGATGCCAAAGCCCGTATGGACTTTGGTCGGATAAACGTAGCAATTTTGAAGCAATTTCTGCATACAGAGTTGCGAGATTCATCCTAAAATACGATCCAAATCAAAGTCAACAATACTCAACAACTAACTGGAGATTTTCGTCCCGATCGCCTGGTTCCAATAAATTTATGGTCAACAGTTGAGTGACGAGTCTTAACTCTGATGCTACTTGATTCCACTGACGTTTTGCTTGCCGGGAAGCACGCCGCAAATGTCCATCACCACGTTGCCATCCTGCTCGAAGCTGTTGACGTGGTGGAAGGCGTAGAATGTGTCTGCAGTGAAGGTGGTGGGGTGCACCTCCCCGGTCCGTTTGTTCACGAGGCGGATCCACGTCTACACGGGCGAGAAAGTTAGGCACCAGACTACGAATTTCACAGCTTTTCACATATCTTGTATATGAGGAAAGAAAAGACAGGGAGGAGGCGTTGTGGTCACACGGATACCAAGGGAATTGATCACAAACGACGTTCAGCAATTTCAGACAAGTGAGACAGAAGGGAGATCGATCGATAGGTAGAGAGCGCGTGCACGTCGCCTTTCGCGTGGTAAATGGGACCACCTGGGCAGTTCTTCTCAACTCGGGGAAAAATACCCCCCGTCACAGACGCGTTGACAATGCGCGGCAGGTGGAACTTATCACTGGTGGGCAGCGTTTCGCTGCTCTTAGGGGCAACCCGCGCGAGCCGGCCACTCCAGACGAGTTCACGGGTCTCACAGCTTCTGCCAGCTCCGGTAGAGGGGAGGGGGTCTGAGGGGGCTGCTTGGGGCTGGAACACCGCCGAGACGACAGGCGATCAAGGAACACATTACCGCTATCAGTCAGACTTGTCAGGACCGGGATCTCGCTCTCAACACATTTTTTGGTCCTGACGAAGTCGTGTGTATTTAAGAACTGGTCTTGCCAAGTCGATGCTCGTCAACGGCTTGGTGTTAGTTAATTTGCCCTGCGTTTTAATAGTATTCCGTCGAAAAATATTCGACGCAAAACAACAATGAAAACAAATCAGCTTTTAACGGCCAAGGTGTTGGTAAAAAAATTATTGACGAAGGGAAAATTATACAAATAGAAGCAGTTCTATCTAAATTCGTAATTCTATCACATTCCTCAACGCATTCGTAAGCCCCTCGCCATGAGATCTCAGCAACCCTTTCATCGCAAGCATCGCCTTACCTCTTGCTCCGGCTTGGCTGCAATCGCATCAATAAAAGGCTTCTTCTTCAGCTTCAGCAGTGGTATCTTCTTCACCTGGATGACTAGCGGCTGCTGTACAAAGACAAAGTAATTTTCGGTAATGCCGAAGCTGTGGAAGTAGGACGGCTCCAGAGGCCATCGGTGCGGCAGGCTGCCGACGATCCGGCCCGACTCGGCCACCGAGCAGCCTTCGGACAGAGAGAGGGAGAGGATGTTACAGCCGACGATCCAGCCCGACTCGTCCACCGAGCAGCCTTCGGACAGAGAGAGGGAGAGGATGTTACAGCCGACGATCCGGCCCGACTCGGCCACCGAGCAGCCTTCGGACAGAGAGAGGGAGAGGATGTTACAGGCAACGATCCGGCCCGACTCGGCCACCGAGCAGCCTTCGGACAGAGAGAGGGAGAGGATGTTACAGCCGACGATCCGCCCGACTCGGCCACCGAGCAGCCCTCGTACAGAGGGGGGGGAGAGGATGTTACAGCCGACGATCTGGCCCGACTCGGCCACCGGGCAGCCTTTGGACAGAGAGAGGAGAGAGGATGTTACAGCCGACGATCCGGCCCGACTCGGCCACTGGGCAGTCTTCGAGCAGCAAGAGCGAGAGGGAGAAGGAGAGAGAGAGAGAGAGAGAGGGGGGGGGGGAAGAGAGACGGGGGGGGGGAGAGAGAAAATGATAGAGAGAGATCTTCGGGATGAGTGACATTACTGCCCGGTCTTCGGAGACAGACATATGTTGATGGAATGAGGACTTCCATGACATAAGCGAAACGTTAGAACGAAGCTTTCAAGAGCTAAGGTATTATAACGAAGCCCTCGAAGAAGCGAGGGAGACGCAACAGTGTAGGGAAATAACGGAGACGTTGGAGAATGGAGCCTATGGGGAACGGAGCGAAAAATAGGGATAACTGGGGATGAAAGAAATCAACTCTGCTGGAGCCTCCGGTGGAGGAGAGGTCTGTAAATAGCCTTAAGCTAGCACAGAACATATAAGCGTTGCTTCCTTGGGGAGGAGAAAAGTTCAGCAAGGGTTCAGCTGAAAAAAAGATGCTTGCTTTGCCTGTTTGCTTGTTTGTATACCTGTTCATGTTTGCTATAATCTTTAAGTCCCTACGAATGATTGGATCCGAACCTTCTAGAATCCATAGGTTTCACGGCTCAGAGCTCACGCTAACTAGTGGCTTGTTATGTGAGTCCTGACCCCCACTATCCGATCGCACAAGCCCAGGTCAACGGTGGAATTTGACGGCGAAAGTTTAACGTGCTGCAGCGCTCGGCACGGTCCATCTTGCCCTCTGACGTCAATTGACCTTTCGCGCCCGCTGCCATCGGTCGCAGGCCATAACTGCCAAGGACAAATAGCGAGCGCCCAAACCGACTCGAACTCACCCCGCTACGGGCGGGTGGAACGGAAGGTAGGTGCTTTAACCAACTGAGCCATCAGGACGGACTTTCATTTCGAGCAACTTTTTTCCTATCGAAGTGTACTGCAACTTGCGTGCCTAAGGCTATTTAGTATAGACATCGACATAGACATCAAACAGCTCTGCTCTTTGGAGCAGCTATTTTAATTCATCATAGTACTGATGTCTATCCAAACGAGACCTACGAAAGTTCAGCGAAGAAAAGAGCTGCTAGAGCGGCAAATTCGGGGACGGCGTGCAGAGGTTAGAGTGACGCTCTCGGGGAAGAGAGGAAACATTGGCGAGGACGAAGACGGCTCAGCGTAGTTGACCCAACCGCATGTACATGGTCGTGGCCGCGGTATCGCCACGATCAGGTAACAGGTGATGTGATTATAATAAGCGAGGTTCGGAACGGTTGGCGAGCATTTCATCCCTAGAAATAACCAGACATCGCATATGGGGCTTGATATTGAAATAAACGGATGCAATTCTTTCGCGTGTTTTGGATTTTGCAAACTAATCATCTTTCACCGGAGACTGCGGCAAAATAGTAGACAGGCCAGCATAATGTTTTGGCAATATTATGTGATTAAGGTTTGTTCTTTCTGTGCATTTTTACTGCATGCGCTAATGTATTGTGTAAGCTAAATATCACGTGGAATCGCACCATAAAAAGAGCCCGTTGGCAGTGTGACGTGGGGCTAAAGACCAAGAGCAGCCTTGTCCTGTACGTGGTCTTGCCTGGGGAAGCGTCCGCTGGAAATTCGATGAAGTTGACGGAGGGCCTCTTTCCACCGCTGAAGGAGCTGCCGATGTTGTAGATGGTGCCGTCCGCCGTGACGTGCGGGTGTGCCGTGGCCATATCCACGGAGACAACCTTGCTGAGGTCGACCTGTTGAGGGCGCAAGCACTTGCTTTGGAGACGACGGCGTGGCTTAAAGTGGCACATGCAGGCTTCTCTCCGGCCCCGCGGTAGAAATTAAAGGAAGTATCATGATCTATCCTGGTTATAACAGTGCATTACGATAAAGGCATTGTATGTATTAAGGCAGCCTTTACTCTTTCTAGAACGAAACGAGAGCCGTCATTCTAAGGACTATTTTATCAGAACAACAAACATCACACCTGAAATGTTCTAGCCCTTGTACATTACCGTTGACCGTAGTGCTACTGACTGAAACACTATCGAGCATAACTACCACGAAAGTAAAAGGACGACGCAGTGATGCCTCTCACCTAACACGTCAAAAGACATTTTGCTGTATTGTTGCAGCAGAACAAGAAATCGTTAAGCCACAAAAGGTTAACATATAAGCTATGAAAGCATGCTGCACGACATGCAGTTTTGATCGAGAGCAAATTTCAGACGGACCGACATCCTTGAGAATAACCGCCAAGTACTTTTCAATATGTTTTGTCAGAGGCTGGCGTCCAGTTGGTGCCTGGGTCACACATGTCAATAACGTCTGCTGCGTACGACAGCCTGATAGGAGCGGTAGAATATTACCTGCTTGCAGGCACATGCGGGAGTCGGTAGCGATCTCGTCTAAGCCCCAGCCCTCCGCTAGCGATCTCGTCTAAGCCCCAGCCCTCTGCGATCTCGTCTAAGCCTTAAGCCCCAGCCCTCCGCGGACGTCGGAGCACTCCCCACAACGACCGTCACCTGCTTTTCGGCGGCCAGGTCGTCATCGTTGAGCTTCCAGATGCGGTTGGTCTCGGTCATGGCGTACAGGTGGGAGCCGAAATAGCCGACGTTTACGGCGCAGTTGTCTGACATGCTACGATCAGGGCCTCGCATGTCCTGGTAGATGGACATCAGCCTGGGGATCGACGCCGTGCGGGAAGCGGAGAGGCGAGGGCCAAGGGAGGGATGAAAACGGAAGTCAGTGACTCTAGGTGGCATACCGAACATGCGCGTGTGACAATAATGTCGGTGGTAATATAAAAGGCATGATGAGCAGCCCTGCATTCGCTGGAGGGAAGGGCGAGCGGTGGTGCTGACAGCACCTGTCTCCTTAAAAACGGTACTGAGCGATATGAAATAGTCGAAAATGCTTCTGCACTCGGGGTAATACGCATTTACGCGCAATCCGGAGGAGTTGACATATTTTCATTACTCAAGCGGAGGCATAATTACATCGGGTTCTCGATGTCGGTGTAAATGCTTGAGCTGATAGCTAGCAACGTTAACCTGACGACTACGCTGCTAATCAGCCAGGTTCTCTAAGCTCATGTCAGCGATTCCTGCACATTTGACGAAACAGGAGCAATGGCTTGCGGGGAGCTAAGCAATGACGGACACGATACCGCGCGAAAGTGCCCACCTTTAACTTGGGTCTCCCTTCACGTAAAATTCCGCAGGCCTGAAACGGGTCTTTGGCCAAAGTGACCACCTGTTTTTGGTTCGCTGCTCACCGGCCGAACAGACTTCGGCAGAGGTCCTGACGTCCCAAGGTGCCGAACTCCGAGGCCTCGATCCTGTTGGCCGCCATGTTGGCCCGGTAGTGGTTACTGTCGAGGAACCGATTCTGCGGTGGCCAGTGGGTGCAGAGTTATGTCCGGAACCGCACATGTGGAAAGGTGGGAGCTGATGATGAACGTGTTCAGGAATTGCACCACCCGTAACCTATAAAATGTGGGACGTGGGACGACACTTAATGCGTCTTGCACGTGGGAGGACGTCAAAGGACGGACGACGTCCTGGACGCCAAAGGACGTCAGAGGACGTCAAATACGTGGGACGACACTAAATACGTCTTGGTCTGCATGTCGGCCGTGCCCTTTCATGTCTGTTCCTTTTTACAGCTTAGACTGGGTTACTATACGCCGGTTTATCTGCTCTTGTTGAGACAGCTAACTGCTGTGCATTATTTCCGGCATTTTTCTGGCAAAACGATATGTGCTTTCAAGCATACACGATTGGATGTGAAATTTTGGTATATATTTGTGTACCAGTCTTCCAACATTGACTTACCACTTACCTGATGGCACCAGCCTGAGTATCGATAATTTAAGGTCGCCCACGCTAAGACCTCGAGAGTCAGTCACTTATCACGTGTGGCAATTGGCGACTCCGCCAAAACGTAGACATGAACGAAAATGCTTTGTTTTCATTTCTAATGGGCAACTCTACTCTTAACTCGTCTTAGAGTCGTGTTAGAATTCCGTCTGTTAGTAGGAATTTACATCAGGACAACAGCTGGCATCACTCCTTCGACCCATCAGTTTATACAGACAGTTGGGTGAACAGCAGGGCACGTAAATTTCTTAAAACATCGTGGTAATAGCTCTAACACCATGAAGTCCCCGGGACCTAAACTGCAAAAGCATAAGAGGTTGCTGTTATTTTCAGCACAGTACGAGAGGAGTCAAGCCTAATAAGCACTAAATATGAAAGCAAGATAAAACTGTTCTTCACTGTGAATTGCACTCCGTAAATGATTATCGCAACCAATGCTCACAAAAAACGTCCCTGGTTGATGAAAGTTTGCCAGTTGTTTACATGTTTGATGTCGCATTCCTGTGCAGGCAAAATAACCAGCATCGATAGGAAAGACACATCGACTTCGAAGAGGTGGCGTCGCAAGTGCTGACGGCTAGCAGTCTGTCATTGATTGAGAGAAGGCGAATTGCCTCATTTCTTTGCTTGAACGTGAGAGTAGGGCACGCTAATATGCATATAAATTGAGAAGGCGAGTTGATCGGCAATGGAAACCTGGACCGCAACTTATCGTTTGGTATCTCGACAGATGCCAGTCCGATGCTTCCGCTGTAACGCAAACATGCACGACGAAAATAAGGTATTTTGCTACGGTGAGTAGTTCATCAAGTCCGGCCCGGCGGTAGAGCAAGGCTCCTGTACTGTCGGTGGCTGCTGACCTGGTATGTGACCCTGCCCGCAGGTCCGTCGATGTGGAACTTGTGCACGCAGGCCAGACCGTCGAAGAGGTGGTTGTAGCGGTCGGGGCCGACCTCCTTGATGCCCGAACCATTCCGATACAGGCTGCCGTGCAGCCAGGCAGGCAGCTGACCTGAGGTCATGCCGGGTCAACCGGACGACTCAGGGGTCAGGAGGAGGCGCCCGGTCAACGAGAGGTCTCAGGGTCAGGCGGACACGCAAGGTCAACTAGGGAGCGCGTGCAGGCTGGGACAGCTAAGAAGATCACGCGTGGTTTAGAATGGTAATTCGTTGGTAGTGGACACGTCGAGACCTGTGTGAAGGTACACGGATGTTTTCAGAGCATTCATGCAGGTGGCCATCAAGGGGCCTTTGAAAAAGAAGCAGTTGCACAGCGCGCGGGATCAGTAGAACATCACTCCGCACCGCAGCAACAGAAACGGCGTCGCCAAGATATACCGCAAGGCCGCGGTGATGACACGCCTAATATGGTTCTCTTTCCGGCATCAGCTGGCTGGCACTATCTGATGTTATTTATACCTGGCCGTTATTGTCATATCGATGTTTACCTGTATCGGTACCCAAGTGCATACAGATGGTTTATCATCTACATTGCTATTCCCACCGAGGGTGTTAAGACTGGCCCTGCGTTCTGAGCTCAAGTGTCTGTACGACCAATATGTAGATCCAGCGCAATACGCCCACTTCTATGAGCCTTTGCCGACAGTCATCTACCAGTGGGCTGGCTGGAACACCCACCTGCCAACTGAGCTACCACGGGAGAAGTCACGGCCTTGTTGGCGTGTCGAAGCCAGAGCGACCTCACCTCGGCCATCGACATGACGCACCTGACATGGAGAAAGGTCAGTCAGCGGTCGCCGCGGGTCATGAGATCATTCGGAACCATCGACGTGGCGAGACGTTATGTTCTGGGCTTGTGAGACATCAATGGGACATGCTTGTCGCACATCTCATACCTGGGTCTGGGTCAGCAGACTGCGTCTGCTGTCAGGCAACTGTTGACAGCCCGCAGCAGAGTCCGAGGACAAGGACACGGACAGGCACATGGTCAAGAGCTCCACTGCCACTGCAACACCGTCAAAGCATAAAAAGGATACAAATTTATTTATTTTGGAAACCAAACTACGTGTCAACGTTTTGTAAAAGTACTTCACCTCTCTCTTGCACCTGCGAATGCCGTCGTCACGACATCCGCCGCGGTGCTTCTAGTGGTTGTAATAAAAGAAGGTTTGTGATTGGTCCAGCGGGCAAGGGCCTGTTACCGAGCGGCGCATTGGTCAAAGTTTGAGCCGGTACGTCACATGAATCATGTTATACTCCCTTTCCCCAAAGTGTGCCTCAAAATGAGCTCCTGTGGTGAACACCAAACAGGAGAAATAAAAGCCATAGCATAACGTTTCCTTGAATTCGCGAGATAATAGCTTCATGTTTGCATGTATTTTTGTCTAAACAGAGTGTTTCAATCTTTTGTAAAAGTTTGCACACAAACATTCGACAAAGTATTGTGTCGCAAACACTACAGAGCACACGCGCTGGAAAAGTAAGGCAAAAGAAATGTCTCACTTCCATAGTAATAATGAGTCAAATGAGATTTCTCCCGCAGGGTAAGCTACTTAAAATAGAAATTCTGAGCTATTCAGAAGGACTTCAAGAAAACTGGTAAGACTGATAAAATAGTACTCATCCGATCTACAAAAGGTAAAAAGTACAAGAAGGTAGCGTGATCTAAGAAAACCTCTAAATACCAAACGTCAATTCGCCGTTTCACGATAAGCCGCTTAAGAGGAGTACAGTGAAGGCACACCAGCAACTACTCGGCCAGTGTACATGCTAACGTACGTGAGAAGACCTCCCCATATGCATGGGGCGAGACAGCCTCACCATCGTTATGACTGATGGATTATGCAGCTGTAGGCGGCTAATAGGTGCTTAACGGGCGAACTGACCTTATCAGCGCAAATTCCAGAAAATGTCACGAATTACTATCAAAAGCGCATTAAGTGTCACGCGCAAGGTTTGTCAACCAACTAAGCCGAACACCACTAACTTAAGAAAACCATTGCATCAATGAGTCCACACTTCCATTATTTCATTACATAGATAGGGCATCACGAGGTATGTATATTTTTTCCATGCACTTTTTTGTTCAGTTTTGGGACGTCATGTCAGACTGAACGCCTGGCACGCGCTATATCGCGCGCACAGTTACGCACACTCCGGAAACACGTGTCCGCTCGACAGGACTGGCCCGTCTTGAACACCGCCCTTGTCAGTAGTGGAGATGTCCAGTCGCTCGACAGGACTGGCCCGTCTTGAACACCGCTCTTGTCAGTAGTGGAGCTGTCCAGCCGCTCGACAGGACTGGCCCGTCTTGAACACCGCCCTCGTCAGTAGTGGAGATGTCCAGCCGCTCGACAGGACTGGCCCGTCTTGAACATCGCTCTTGTCAGTAGTGAAGATGTCCAGCCGCTCGACAGGACTGGCCCGTCTTGAACACCACCCTTGTCAGTAGTGGAGCTGTCCAGCCGCTCGACAGGACTGGCCCGTCTTGAACACCGCCCTCGTCAGTAGTGGAGATGTCCAGCCGCTCGACAGGACTGGCCCGTCTTGAACATCGCTCTTGTCAGTAGTGAAGATGTCCAGCCGCTCGACAGGACTGGCCCGTCTTGAACACCACCCTTGTCAGTAGTGGAGATGTCCAGTCGCTCGACAGGACTGGCCCGTCTTGAACACCACCCTTGTCAGTAGTGGAGATGTCCAGTCGCTCGACAGGACTGGCCCGTCTTGAACACCGCTCTTGTCAGTAGTGGAGCTGTCCAGCCGCTCGACAGGACTGGCCCGTCTTGAACACCGCCCTTGTCAGTAGTGGAGCTGTCCAGCCGCTCGACAGGACTGGCCCGTCTTGAACACCGCCCTTGTCAGTAGTGGAGATGTCCAGCCGCTCGACAGGACTGGCCCGTCTTGAACACCGCTCTTGTCAGTAGTGGAGATGTCCAGCCGCTCGACAGGACTGGCCCGTCTTGAACACCACCCTTGTCAGTAGTGGAGATGTCCAGCCGCTCGACAGGACTGGCCCGTCTTGAACACCGCTCTTGTCAGTAGTGAAGCTGTCCAGCCGCTCGACAGGACTGGCCCGTCTTGAACATCGCTCTTGTCAGTAAATGGAGGTGTCCAGCCGTTTGGCAGGACTGGCCTGTCTTGAACGTCGCTTTCTTCAGTAAGTGGAGGTGTCCAGCCGCACGTCGTCCGACACCGCAAACAGGGGCGCATTCAACGGGAGGAGGGCGGGAGGGGGGGGGGGGGGGGTGACCGGATTTGCACGCCAGCCTGCGCCCCACACTCTTATCAAATGTCTGCATGCATTTATGTGTATGAGAGGACTCAACAGAAGGCACGTGCCGGGGAGCCAATGACGAATTGAATACGACACGCTCGGGTGGGTGGCGGGCACTTTAACCCTGACCCCCTGTGATCCCAAAGGATAAGACGGTTTGATACCCAAATTCACAGGGTAGTGCTTGTATGCGGTTTCACTTAGCCGAATTTTGAGATCCCTGGGTCATAGCCTTTCGGTCAAAAATGGTCAAATTCTAGATCGGTGTCCGAATTAACATTAGATCTCTTCGTGCAACCACCTGGAGCCTGGAAACCTCTTCTAAGCAAACAGGGTCACTTTTAGTTATTTCAGGTCAGTGATCTTATTTGATCTTCCTTAAAAATAGCCTGCAACATAATTTTCGTTTTCTTTATCAAAAGTGGTGCCAATGATAACGCTCAGCGGTATATTTCTAAAAATATTTGGCCTCAGTCATTTTAGGTCGGTGACCTCCTTTGACCTTCATGGAGTCTACCTAGATGTCTGTTGCTGTCCGTGTGATCAAGAAACTTAAAATGGTGCTGAGCATCAAAAACTAGCCCGCTTACTTAGTTCTTCAACAACAACAAAGCGGCTTGGCTTTGAACTTGTTATCACCTTTACACTCGACCCAAAATCAATGGAATTGGTCAGAATTGTAAATTCAATCGTCTAATTGTACATTAAACCATTTGAAAGATGTATGGTATCGTTTAGCACTCAGGTGCCAAATCAGGGTGAATGGTCATCCAATCAATGTAAATTACTGGGATTCTCAGGAATTGCCTTTGATGATAGCCAGGACCTGACTTTGACCTGCTATAGGTCGGTCACATTACATGGTACACGTATCACATAGTTTTATAACGAGACCGGCCATCCAGTTGCCTACAGCTATACAAAATATGGCACGGCTACGATAAGACGCCCAAAAGCCGCTCGAAAAAGTATTCGGCGGTCAGATTGGGCGCCCGCCTGAGGGCGTGCCAAGTGATCGATCCAGGCGCAACACCAGCCTCACTAGCAACGCAACACTAGCTGCACCAGCAACGTAGCACTAGCTACACTAGCACCGCAACACCAGTCACACTAGCAACGCAAACATATTTAAACACATTAAAACACATTGAAATTAAACTGATCGAAAATATGCACTGTTGCTATGCGTCTTACAAGAAATGTCGCGCTCCTGTGACACGATAGAACAAGGTTTTTGGTATGGATTTTGAGTTGTGCCATTCTCTCCTCCCACTGCGCCATTCTGCAATCCTCTCAGACCGCAGTTCGGCAGTCCTCACCCGCACGTCGTCTGCCCGGTCGCACAGACGCGTTCACGCGTTCCACAGCATCCCGCAGTCCGTCGCACATCGACCGCAAGCCAGCTCGGGCCGACGCAGCGACCTTGACAGTCCGCTTTCCCGCGGGCCTGCGCTATAAATAGATATGTCGCGGATTGCGTCGTCGCGGAGGATCGGAACCGGATGTGAGGTTAGAAAGGCCGGTTGAGGGAGTCGGGATGACGTTAAGTTCCACAGCGGTCCCCGTCTCATGAGGAAGAGATGAGGCAAGAAAAATGGGCCAGTGTACCGGGGTGCCGAGGTACGAGGTACGAGGTGCGGCCGAGGTACCATTCGGGCGGAACCGCACCCTGCTCACCCGGCTGATACCCCAAACGGAGTGGTCTGAGCGACCTGGAGCTATACACCACAACTACCCCCACAGAGCAGGGGGGGGGGGGGGAGTCCACTGAAAATCAAGGTTCAAATAATCACGACACTCGGCGAACGTGACGGATATTAACATCGGCACGCGGCCCTAGCGGACGCATCGCGTGGAGCGGTTAGCTTGACATGACGCACACACAGCGATGGAGTCGCGTAGGTCCACCAGACGCAACAGCCCACCGGTCCCCCGAGGCGAGCAGCGGACACGATTGATGACACCCACGTCCCGTCCCGCCCCAGAGCGGGACATCCGTGCGCGGCAGTCGTGACAACGTCAGGCTGCGCCGTAGTGATGATCTCGCGATCCTCGGACCGTTGAAGTCAGATGGAGAAGGCATGATGAAAAACCGTCTGTGGATCGGTTGGTGGCGCGGCGTAGCAGTGGAAGATGGACAGGTCACGAGGAGGTGGTCTGTCGTGCACTTGCAGCTGATTTGTCGCGGTTCCGCGCGGTGAGGGAGGCAAGATAGGTGGTGCTGTCCAACCACATCGGACGGAAACAGGAACAGGTCGATGTGTTCGACTGTCTCTGCCGGCTGTCGGTGTTCGTTGGAGACCGGTTGCCATCAGCCGGAGGTGGCGAACGGTGGCTGTTTGCTGGCTGATGTTGCAGTGGCGGCTGTGCGTGGGCGAGAGCCCTAGGACGTCGGATTCGCTGGCGACAGAGCAGAGATGCCGCATGCGGAACAGGCGACTCAGCGTCCTCGGCAGTGCCGGGGTTAGCCAGGCACCGCAGCTGCTGCCA